TTTTATTAATTCTCTGGTTAGATTACGATACAATCCTATCAAAAGAATTCCTGGTATTTTCTTGTTTTACGAGTATCCTTGGTATCCTTAGCATTCCTAGTATATTTCTAAAATACTTGTAAGTAATTCCTACCATTTTCTGTCCCACTCGTCCATCAGTTTTATCGACAATTGCTTGTCATTGAAGCGTGAGATGATCTTGAAAGCGCGAGCTAGGATAAAAGCAGACTCGAAAGACAAATACGTGTGCGTGAAGCGCACGTATCGGCGAGTTCAGACGTTTCGCAATGTGAATAACTATTCAAACGTGGTTCATGGTTCATAAAAGAGAGAACGGGGACGCCTGTGCGCTGGTCTCTGACGTTTATAAATCGGCTGTTTTCTAAGAATATCGTCCGCAGCTTCGTCGTACCTTTAAGATACACCGATGGGTGTTTTTCTTGCGTTCGGTTGAATGACTGCCGGCGGAGCTCTCGAAACGAATATTATCAAATTTTTCTCTCGAAACGGAGAAATCTTTTACCGATCAAGTTTGTAGAATATTCTCCCAATTTAAAAAAATGCGTAATCGATAAAATAGACTGGCAATATTTTGCAGAAAAGATATTCAAAGGTAACAGATCGCTTTTAAAAAGAAAAGCAATGTTCAATATTTTAAATATAAATACAAGTAAAAATTACGAAAGGAAAAAAGAGAAATGTTCTTTCGTAGAAATTAAATTTCTGAATTCTTCAGTAATTTTTCTCCCAGTAAGAGAAAAAAAAAAAAAAACGTAAGCAACAAAACGTATTGAAAGTTCGATCGAAGAGAAAAATACAAGACTGACAAATTTCCTTTCTCAAGATTAGGAATCTTCGTTCGATCAACTTTCCAAAATGGGAGGAGCCAACTAGCCCGAACGAAGGGCTTGAACCGCTTGTCTCTTGGATCCATTTCGTTGGACGAACAGCCCCCCGTTCGAAGTTTTCTACGCCGGCACTGTACAAGCAGCTGATCTGCAATTCGAAAGTTGTCCAAGTTTTGTATGCATGTCAACGAAGCTGCGGACACGGTATCCGAGAGGCGGTCTCGACGCTCGTGGTCGCATTTGCAGTAACTATCGCGCAGCCGGAAGCGAACCGAGCGCCCTCTACACTTTAGCTCGCGAACCGCAAATGGCTCGGAGTTAAACGCGTCGAACCAAACCGCTTTTGTCGGCCTGTTCCACCCGTTTCTGGCAACTTTTTATCCAACCCCTTCCGTGTTTCCTCCGTGTTTTTTAATTTTTTTCTCTCTTTTTCCCCTCCAAA